TACTGCCAATATTAGCCTCACTGCATTTGCAGTATCATAGGCCATTAATATTTACTTTTAACTTCTTATCAACAGTAGATGCTGTGGCATTAGCATGTTTAAAAGTCCAGGTTCAACATTATAAACTACATCACGCACATGCACGCATTTAATACATACCTTAAAACAGCATCTATTCCCTTTTCCTTTACTTCCCTGAGCTTTTCCTCTAAAAATATAAGTGAGTCTTCTGGACGCATGACAATTACACCACAAAGTAGAGCCTGAAAAACAAATTGTAAATTAATACCTTCGTGGTAATAGTAAAGGATCTTCTAGATGTGAAACATTAAAATAAACTCAAGATTAAAATTTACTTTTAAAATATTGTAAAATAAAATCAAAAATTTTTAGTGCTTACATTTCATTTCATTTATATCTTAAAGAGAATATTGCATACATCAGAATGTTTCAGTTGCTAGACTTCAAAGCATTGGGTTTAGGGCAGTAATACAATACATGGTATTTCCATAAAAATTCCTACTAAAAATTTCATTTTTTTTAAATGCATTCAAGAAAGAACACCCATAAAACAGGATAATTTCATTTATCTAATGAAAAACAGAATGTAAAACAAGATTAACTGTGTGCAGCATAGAATACGTTGAATTAAGAAGCATGACCAGATATCAATCCAGTAATCAATACCAAAAACAAAATACAGGTAGTAAGATTTGCAAATTTGCACTGCGTTTTAGTAATGCTGCAGAATAACTGATGAACAGTTTTTCTCACTTGTGTTCAGCTATCTTCATCTAAAATCTATAGCTCATTTATTTTTGGATTATGAGTTCACATACAGACATATCTTCTAAATTATATTGATATTTAAAAGCATATGAGCAAACTCTGGTTATTTAAATTACTACTATGAACTAGAAAGATTCTATTTCCAGATAAAAATTTCAGAACATGACTGTGCATCTTTAATGAGACAGTAATCCACATTAAAGCAAAAGAAGTTATCCTGGGGCACACTCTATGTTCATAGTTCCCTCTGCTGGTTATCAATAAAGTAGCTCTCAACAGTTATCACAAAAGCAGCATCTGAGTTTTTTAGATTTTCTTCCAGCCCTGATTTTTAAAAACCTGCTTTTCTTTGTCTCAACCCACTTCCCACTACTGCTGTTCTCCTTGATGCAGCTGGATGGTGCTAACTCTCTATGTCTAATTTCTGCCTTCAGAATCTGGTCTAACCTCTGGAAGCTCATCACCCAAATTCTGACTGTGCAACTCACTATCATAGAATCATAGAATAGCTTGGGTCAGAAAGGACCCCAAGGATCATTAAGTTCCAACTCCCCTGCCAGTTATCTTTAATTTTTTCCAAACCATTTATTCACATGTATGCACCCTATGGGTTAAAGATACTTCATTTTCCAGCATCCATGTTGATTTTCTCCTGTTATTATTATAAAACAACTGATATGTATAAATGAGTAAATATATTTAAAAATATATAAATATATAAATATATATATATATCTGAAGCAACTGCTACATCTGTGCTGGATCAACTCAATATCTGAATGTAATGGCTTTCTCACCATACCAACTCAACTGAGAAAGATTTGTAACTGCAGAGCAGTTAGGAAAGAGATCACTGACAGCCATAACAAAGAAGTACAATAATAGAGACTTTTGGCCATGAGTCTGTGCTGTTTCTTTACATGCCTCCAAGTCAAGACCACTATAATAAGGCAAAACAAAACATTTTTTTAATGCACAGACAATGAAAGGCAACTGTCTTCAGTTTACACACATTGAATATTTGGTAATACTTATCAACCCACTTCTTACAACCTTAGCATGACGTTCTTAATACAAACAAGTATCTATGTATACCTTGATGGGGAATATATTAAGAAAATATAAATCTAGCATCTTACTAAATCTAAAATCTTACTGTTGTCATTCATGACAAATAATACCATTTTTAATACTATCTAGACATTTAAATAACTTTCCTCAAAAGTTCTCCTATGAACAGATTTCCCAAAGCCAAACCCAAGGCTGTTGTTCAGCTACTCCCTCTCCTGGATCAACTCAGTACCTGTCTGCCATATGAATTCCAGTCATTAGTATACAGTCAAGTTCATGCTCTTTTCTTTTTCCCTTTAATGTGAACACAACAGCTTTTTTTCCTCTCATGTTCTGAAAGGTCTAACACACAGAAAATCCACAACAGCCATTGGGGTGACCTCACTGCAGCCTTTCAATACCTAAAGGGAGCCTACAAACAGGAGGGGAGTGAACTCTTTGAAAGGGTTGATAACTGCAGAACAAGGGGAAATGGTTTTTAGTTGAGGGAGGGAAGATTTAGGTTGGATGTCAGGGGGAAGTTCTTTATAGAGAGAGTGGTGGGGTGCTGGAACAGGCTGCCCAGAGAGGTTGTGGATGCCCTGTCCCTGGAGATGTTCAAGGCCAGATTGGATGGGGCCCTGGGCAGCCTGGTCTAGTATTAAATGTGAGGTTGGTGGCCCTGCATGGGGCAGGTGTTGCTGGAGATTCATGATCCTTGAGGTCCATTCCAGCCCTGGCCATTCTGTGATTCTGTGATGCAGGCTTGTCTGCAAGGCTTCTCTTTAACTTACTCTCCCTTTCTGCATACGCTGAACAACAGATAAAAATAAACTCATACCTTCAAATTTATTCTTACCCCTTAAAGTCTATTCCACACAATATCCTTGTGTGGAATACACAGCTAATGAGAATCAACAGTTTTGTTATATACAGTATTGAAGATCTGCTGTTCACTATGTATTCAAATTACACTAACATCTATATTTTACATTCACCATGACACCTTGCTTAAATTTCACTGCAGTATCATAAATGTTACATGTTATTATTTCAGATCTACCTGCAATAGAAGACTACACTGTACACCGAATGCATTTTGGCAAAGCCAGTGGAGGCCTGCATCTCCAGGAAGAGCTCCAATTAGGTGGGCTGCAGCCTAAAGCAGCCCAGATTCCAAAATAGATCTACAAATGTGTCACAACTATTGTCAACATTGTTTCTTCTGGAGGCCCACAAAGTCTGGCCTACAGCTGCTATCCCTGTCAGTACAAAAGGAGGGTGTATGAGCCACGAGGCCTGGCCATGACCTTCAGTCTTCCGCTATCCCTGACCAGATGCTTGACTTCTCTCACAAGCTTCTCCATTCCAGCTGTAATCCCTGACCTTCCCATTCCTATTCCTAAATGTGTAGCAACCTATCCTTCAGCTGAGTCATATGGCAGAAAAGCAGTGATCCAGCTCTGAAGTCACGTTAAGCATACAACTTGCAGGATTTCATTTTGCCTGATGTTTTATGGTTATTGATGAAAGTAAATCTGGATGAGATCTGAAAGAAGAAATCACACAGGAATGAAAGAATCTGACGCAGCAGGGAATCCCGAGTTATTTGGACATGATTATTTGGACACCAAGTGTGCGTGGATCATGTCCAAACCACAACATAACCATAAATGACTTAAGCAAATGTCCACTTTAGAACTCCACATCCTTCTTAATTTTGAGAATGTTTACATAAATGTTTATAGAACTCAGCTTAGGTATGGTATGCCTTAATACCGAGACCAGTATCATCTCATTTGTCTCCATACAAAGCATACTGGAACCTCATAAAGAATGACAATGACAAAAAAAATTCTTGTAGGCACCCGTGAGCACCAACACCTAAGAAACAAGGAAAAATAAAAACAAAAAAAGGATGAAAAGATCTTACAGAGGCTGATTTTGTAACTAGTTCTTTCCCTTAAGTAACCCCCTTTATTCTGAACCTTAATTATTTCATTTTCAGTTTCACATTCTTTTGGTTTTCTGAGTGTGAAGAAAAACAACCCAAAAGGAATGATCAGGAGAAAGATTCTCAGAAGTGCTCAATCTGCCTGGCATGCTGCTCTGTAATTATTCTAATTGGCTCAAGATTTCCTTAGAAATGTTTCCATGGGAATGCTGGCTGTAAGAGCTGCCTCCAAGCGAGTCTGTTTAGGTACCTGAGGACTATCAGGGAGCCTCTGAAACTGCTTTGTGCGTCATCTTTGTTCGAGGAGACAGAAACACAGGTAAAACGTGTAGAAAACGGGATTGATAAACGGGAAAGGTAAAACGGGAAGAAACCAAACAAATAGAGCAGAATGGCGAAGAATCCCAAAGCTAAAAACGCAAACCGTATGCCCCACGGCCCCACTCCCCAACACTTCACGGAAGCTTCTTTACTCCCGTCCCAACACGGCACCTGAGACGCGGCCCACGTCCGCCTGCGTCAGGCCGCGCAGAGGCCTTTACCTCGTAGATCTGGACGAGTCCGTGCCGCCTCAGGTAGGAGCGAAGCTCGGGGCCGCCGCCGCGAAGGGCAGCCACGGCCGCAAGGCGTCACGGTCGCGTAGCAACGGGCCGGGATGGAGGTGCTGCCCCGGGCCTGCCCGCCCCGCCCCGCCCCTTCCACACACGCGTTGGTTCCCCGTGAAAAACCGAGGGCAGCGATTAGCCCTCGGGGTGTGTCCGTGCTGGGAGGGGAAGCGCGGTGCCTCCCGCTTTGGTCAGCACTTACGCGTGTCCCTGGGACACGCACTGTACCCAGCGCTGTGCTTTGTTAAGACAGCGGTATTTTCACGTCGTTGTTGTAAGAACAAGCCGAAGCAGAGTCGAGCCGCGGCCGAACCGGGTGGACTCGCCATCCGAGCCGGGCACACAGCTCTCAGCGCAGTGGGGCGGCGCCGGATGCGGCATCGGCTTCCGCAGACGGGGAAGATGGGCGAGCGGCGTATCGTGAGAGCAGCCGTGCTGGGGCTCGTGCTCGGCGCCGGCGCCTGCTACTGCTACCGCCTCTGGAGGCGGGCAGCGGGCCGAGGGCGGCGGCGGGGAGCGCCTTGCGTTCCGCCCTCAGGTGAGGAGGAGGAGGAGGAAGAGGAAGAGGAAGAGGAGGGGCGGCGGCGGCGCGGGATCGGCAGCGCAGTGCTCCCGCTACCGCAGTGAGCGCCGGGAAGGCCCGCTGCTGCGGGGCGGGCTTACAGCCGGAGTCTCCCCTGGAGAAATTCAGAACCGGCCTGCTTGCTTTCCCATGTAAGGCAGCGTTGGGAGCCTGCTCCTGCAGGCCTTGGAGCCCCTGCGGTTCTGCGATCCTGACAGAACGGCCTTTCTCTGTTCGCGAGTCTCCATCACGGAGCAGCGCCGTTCTTATCATCTGGGCTGTGGCTCTGTCAGAGGAGCGCGGTGCGCGAGCACATTGTCACCAGCGTGATTTCTGCAAGCAGTAGGCTGCAGATCAGAAGGCTTATTCACTTTCCTTGTAATGTCCAAACAGATCTCCACATTTCATCTTGTGGGACGCAAGGAAAAAGTTAACGTTTGGTGAACATTCCCTGTAATTTTGCAAGGGAGGTTTGCTGTTAATGAACCTTAGAGAAATACACCTCAAGCTTTTGTTACACATTCCTTTTCTTTTCCTTCTTTTTGTACCTTGAGAAGAAGTAGTCACGGGATTCAGGAAAAAAGATGAAAGTTGTGCTGTGGTAAAGCAAAATCTTCTTGCCTTTATATGGTTGTTGGGTACAGTCAAACATAGAACATGTACGTGTTTGTGGCCAGTGGGTCGAGGGAGGTGATTCTCCCACTCTGCTTTGCCCTGGTGAGGCCACATCTGGAGTACTGGGTCCAGTTCTGGGCTCCCCAGTTCAAGAAAGACAGGGAACTGCTGCAGAGAGTTCAGTGGAGGGTCATGAAGATAACTGGGGGCCTGGAGCACCTCTCTATGAGGAAAGGCTGAGGGCTGGGGCTGTTCAGCCTGGAGAAGAGAAGTCTGGAGAGGGATCTCATCACTGTGTATAAATACCTGAAGTAAAAGAGTCGAGTCACTGGGAGCAAACTCTTTTCAGAGGGGTGCAGCAATAGAACAAGGGACAATGGGGAGAAACTGGAACTGAAACTCAACTTGCTAAAAAAGCATTCATTGCTAAGTGAAATGTCTCAAACTTGGTATTATTTAATTTTTAAACAGTGATGGAAGAAATTCCTCCATCACCCCACAGCATGGACGCAGACGCTCTACAGAAGCTTATTCATTTGCTCAAGGCCACAGATGATCCATTAATTCAGGAGCAAGCTTTAATCACTCTTAGTAACAGTGCTGCCTTCTCTGTAAATCAAGTAAGTATTGTTCTGTAGAAAACAACAGCGTTTCACTACCCATCAGTATGGAAAATGAAGGGTGCTGTTTTGCTTGAGAGTGTCACAAGATTGAGAGCTGGGCTAACCTGTATTCTGAATCTTGTGTTTTATGTTTATGCCTTAATTTCATGCTAGTCCAAAGAATGCAATTAATCAGCCTCACAAGATTTCTGTGCTTAATATTTGTATGCATTAAATGTACTCAAACTCTCTACAGCATCCTGTATTTTCAAAGTGCTGTAAATATGTCTTTTGTTGCCTTCAGTTATATAATGTTAATTAAAAGGCTGAATTTGAGACAAGTTAAATAATCTCAGGATCCAATCTGAAATCTACTGAAATATTTTCAAGTAGCTTTGATGTTTACAAAGCTGTGTGCCATTTGCAGCAGCTTCCCTGCCATCCAGCTCTCTTTGATTCAGTTGGAAATATGATGCAGAAAAGCTTTGGCCCTAAGCAGGACTGTTCAGAATTTCATTTGAATTAATAGATCCCAAATTCAAACGGCAGCTTAGTGATTACATGTTTTACAATTAACAAGCTGCATCAAATCCTTCTTCAATTAAGCACTAGCAAAATGTAACGGGTTTTATTCTGCCTGCTTTAGGAGCCTGCTTAATTTGCAAGCTCTTCAAAATTCTATTATTTTATGGGCAACTCTACAGAAGGTTTTATGCTGTTGGTGTCTCTCAAATGAAATTACATTCCAGTGTGATTTTGATACTGTGAGCAGGTGGCAGTTTTAAAATAAATACCATAATTTAATTTTGTATGCAATCATAATACAAAAAATAACAAACTAACACTTTAAACAGAGTAGTCTGTTCTGAAAGTTTTAATTTACACAATTCCCTTTGCACAAAAATAAACTTTGAGTAAAGCTTTCAGCATTTAATTCAAAATTTGCAACAATTTTATTGAGTACCTTTTATATTTCAGGATATAATTCGAAATTTGGATGGCCTTTCTGTAATTGGAGGGATGCTCTTGGATTGTGTTCCCACAGTTAAAGAAAAAGCACTAAATGCACTTAATAATTTGAGTATGAATATTAAAAATCAGGAAGAGATACAGGTAAGTTTATTACAAGGAAAAAATAAAATGCTAAAATGTCTTGAGGTTAGACCTGAGAGTCATCAGCTGTAGATGAGCTGTGCACCCTAAAGCCAAACAGATAACTTAATGCATTTGTATCACTGGCAATTTATTTTTGAAAAAGCACCAAGGAAACTGGGCAGGATGTATTTAGCTTTCACCAAGCGCTGCTAAACAGAGATACTGCTGTTAGGTTTATAGGGAAATAATGTGAGGCAAAGTGATTTCTAAATATCCTTAGAACATCAGTAAGGTCGTGTAATAAGATGGGTAGCATTCTGAGTCTCACATGACTCCGTAGGCAAGGGAACTGGATGAGAAAATGGTAATTGATCCCTTGGGCTTGTTTGTGACCCACTTCTCAGTGTGGTGTTTTATTCTTTAAAAAAAAAAAAAAGTCTGTAATAATGGTAATAAGTCTTGCTGATAAATACAGTAGATGGTACAGATGAGATGGGACCAGCCATCAGAAAAAGCCTCTTTTGGCATTATTTGATCAAGAAGTGTCCAAGCAGTGAGCTTACATGCAGATTTGAAGATTTTTGGAAGCTTCTTCAGTAGCATGATAGAAAGCCACTTTGATTATACACTGTCATTTATAGCACCTTTAGTGCTGAGCAACTTTTTTTAAAGAAGTGCTTGCCCATAGCACATATTTATATAGACATGTAGGTAGAAAACAACTCCTTTGACGAAGGCAAAGTAATTTTTTTCTTAGCACTCACAGAGTTCACTGTGTGATATCATTCAGAAGAAAATTTTGTAGATAATAGTTGCCAGTGTCAGTTGTCATCACTAATCCCAACACGTACTCCAGTGAATGGACCATGTAATTGGAAGGAAGGATTTCTTTCCAAGCCTTACCCTTGGCTTGCTCTGAACATTTAAGACCTTAGTTGCTTTAAGTAGGTGATTTTCAAAATAACCTCTTGAAGCAAATGTACCACTTCTGAGGTGGCGTCAAAGCAATTTGAGTTTTCAGAGTAATTTATGCTTCAAGAAAGTTAGGGAGTGTAAGTCTGGCCTGTCTCCTTCTATCAGGTCACAGTATTTGTATGTATTAAAAATGAAACAAAACATAAATGCTTGTTTCTAAGTACCTCGATCAGATTATGTATTCAACAAGCAGTTCAGTAGGTATTTATGCTCCAGTTTCTAGACTATTGATGCTATTTGTGAATAGGAAATCTGCTTGTCTCAAAGAAATGTCTTTCCTTTTCATCTTCTCTTTTTCCCAAGGTATATATTATGCAAGTTTGTAAGAACATTGAATCAGCTCCTCTGAACTCTGATCTGCAGCTAGCTGGACTCCGATTGTTGACAAACATGTCTGTTACCAACGACTATCATTATAAGATGATAAACAAGATTCCATGCTTTCTTCATTTGCTTTCAGAAGGATCTGAAAGGACACAGGTATTGAGTACTGTATTGTTATAAACCACTTATGAAGCTGTTTCACTTGCCTCCTTTCTACTGTTTTTATAACATGGTTTAGAGTGTGCTTAGAAAAACAAGTATTTATTGGCAGTAGCTGACAGTCCATAAAATATGTGATATTCATATTGATATTACTTACTCCACATAAATTCAGGAAGAATGGAGAGAGAGAAGGAAGAGAATCCTGATAATGCAATTACTGGGCTAGAGCTGTAGCTGTGTGCACAGTTTTTGCACACTTCCTTTACTACAGCAGCTCTAGAGTTCTGCTTACCAAACACTGCAATTGCACGACAGGGCAAGAAAGATTTGCATTTGAAAGACTTCATAGATGCATGAATTCCTGGGATATTACATCGATATCAATGCACTGAATTGTTCTCCCAGATCAAAAATAGCTTTTAGAAATACGAAGTTCCATTAAAGTTACTAGATATACTTCACTGAAGTGCAATAAATAACACTTGGCCTTTTTTCAGTGTTTATATAAAAGATTAGTGCATCAAAGTCCAGGAAAGGACAAAGCTGTGTTTGTGTGTGCTTCTGATCACGTTTTAAGTGCTTGTTTATTTTTTAACCCTGAATCCTGGTCCTTATTGCTTGTTCTTCAGATTAACATCTTCCACAGTCTCACCTCCTGCTTTTAAAATACTAAGGAATTTCAAACTTATGTAAGCCTTACACATGTAATTGTGTGAAAGCTTAAATCCTGAGAAAAACCAAAATCTATAATCTTTTCCATGTTAAAAAAGATGACAGTACAGACTATACTGGAGTCCCTACAGTTTGGTGACCATGTTAAAAGAATGATTTTTATGACTTTCCTTGCTTTAGTGAAAAATCCAGATTCTCTGAAAGAAGGTGAGAATTTGTGTTTGGAGACTATCAGAATAAAGGAAACCAGAAGATAGCGGGCTACACTAAAAAGTGATGGGATATGCTCAGGGTAGAGAGAGATGACAAAGGCCAGGGAGCACTAATGTCTGTTCACACATTCTGGTTCTGGAGACTGCAATGATCATGTATGTTTCTTATTTCAGATACAAGTTTTGAAAGTCCTTGTGAACTTGTCTGCAAACCCAGCTACAACAAGACATTTTCTCAAAGCTCAAGTAAGGTTTTAGTTTTTTTTTTTTTTTTTTAGCAATTACTTACGTGTATGTATGTAGATGTGTACGTGTAATATGGCTAAATTCCTCTAATCCAAGTTTATATGCAACTCTGAAGTAAAATTCTAGTAAGTACCTGGTTCATATAAGTAATTAGAAGCATACGTTCTTTCACAGGTTAACATTTTAGGTTGTGGTGTATTACAGATTACATTAACTGCAAATGTATGGGGCGTATGCACTTGCAGGCACTTGGTGGTCATACTTCCTGTATAATATTTCAGATCATAGGATCACAGAAAAGTTTGGGATGGAAAGAACCTTACAGATCTTAGAGTTCCAGCCCCCCTGCTACCCACCAGTAGGCTCCCCAGGGCCCCATCCAGCCTGACCCTGAGTAGTTCCAGGGATATGATATCCACAGCTTCTCTGGGCAGCCATGCCTGTGCCTTACTGCTCTCATAACGAAGATTTTTTTCCAAATGTCTAATCCAAACCTCTTTTAGTTTAGAGCCAAATAGTAGTAAGGTGGAGAAGCCTGTTCTTGCTTTCCCTTTTCACCTTTTCAATTGCTTACACACCTAAGAAAAATAAATTCCACTGAAATCCCCACCTCTTTATTCAAATGCATCCATAAATCTTCTTCTCTCGGCGTTATGAATAACTTTTCTTGTGCATCGCTTGTCTTCATGGAGAACTTTATCTGACACTTCCCATTTCTGGCTTAACATACACATTTATTTCAGTTACATCCTTTTCTCATACCAAAAACAAAAGATTTGGGGCTGGAATGGTTCTGCACCTTCTTCCTCCTCACTAAAATATGTTTCTTAAGATATGTAGTGGCTGATTTCAAAAGCAAACTTTTTACTTCTGAGGTATTTCCCAGAAGCAGAACTAGTCTAGATACTACTGGATTTTCACAATTAAAAAAGACTAGGGTAGGCATATGTTCAGTCCTCTGTTGAAAGTATATCCTGCCCAGTTCTATCAGACACGTTAACAAACGTTCAGATCACCACAGAAGGCAAAAGTAAAATTACTTGAAGAAAAGCAGGCTCTCTTACAGACAGAAAGCTTCCTGACCACTCTATTTTAAAAAACTGAAAGTATGAAGTATTAATTAGCCTGTGACACATCTTTTCAAAAGAGCAAATATGAATGCTGTGCAGGTTTCCTGCACGATGTCTCATTATGTGTAGTTCTGGTATTTCACAAGGTTTCTGACTTAGATTGTTTAGGTGCAGATTTCTTTTCTATTTTTTAAAGTTAGATTTAGCTAGATGTACATAGCACTGATGATTAAATATGGATGATTTATTTGATGTCCTAGGTGCCATCACTGTTGTTACTCTTTGACAACTGCATGAACACAGATATTCTGCTCAGAGCCCTGGTATTTGCAGCAAATTTGAAAAAGAACATGAACAGTGAAGACAGCATCATGATAGAGGATGAATACAGTGAAGACTCTGTTTTCTCTATACTCTGCAGGGATTCTACTGCATTTGCTCAGAAGCTGGCATCTTTACTGCATCACCCTGACACAGATGTGAAAGAGCAAGTTGTGAGACTACTAACACAGTAGTAATTTACTAGTGACTGACAAATATCTTAAGATTAGATATTAAAAAAATGCTGAATATTGCTATTGTACTTGGCAATCAATCACAAGAGACTCTATGTTAAACAGACTGCGGAGTATAACAGATTTCTTGTAAAAAGCAAGATAAGAAACAGGTTACTTAGCACTGAGAAACCACTATACAACTGGTATATGTAAACAGAGGGAGGCACACTTTAAAGCACGAAAGCTTTTACATGTACAATGAACATTTTAAATTCATGAATAAGGTCTATCTAGATATTCTTAAGGTTAGAATTTTCGTGCCTTAGATATTTACAGCTGTTGAATAAGCATCTCTATAATGATGCATTAAAGATTCAGCAATCAGAGCTTAGTTGTTTCCATTTTATTACTGGTACCTGTTAAACAGCAGCTATTTAGTTTTTTTTAGTTTTAGTTGAAAAACAGTGCCAGTATTTTCAATGAAAAGTGCATATTAAAATTATGTAGTCATATGTTTAGTACATCTATTCCATTTAGTTGAAGTACAGTGCAGTCAGACACAACATGAAACGTTTCTATACTTTAGCAAAATCAAAGGATTTTTATCTCCCTTAGAGGACTGATAGCTTTAAATGAAAGCATACATGCTTTTCAAATTACATTACCGCATCTCTGTATTATCTTTGTTAAAAGAAGCCAGGAAGAGCAATATCATTCACATTTTTACAAAAGCTTCTGTTCTGTAGCAGCCCTCCAGCCTGTGTGGAGAGGCTTTATGAGAGCTCATGGGAGAGTTCTGTTCCTGGAATGTTATCAGAACAAGTGCTTCTGTTGAGTTAGCCCCCATATATTTTCACTCACCTCTGCAGCATTAATTCAAAGTTAAATGGAACATCAAAACATTGCAAAGGAAACTGGAGGAAGTTTCATTGATGAGCAAAGAACATGTAGTAGAAAATACTGTATACCAAAACAAGACTACTAAAACTTCCAGAATGCCACATTATGAAGACACTGTGTATTAGTATTATTATTATTATTTTTTTTTTTTAAGAGAAATGCATTACCTAAACTGTGACCAGATGCTTCATCTTTAAGTTAATACACACACTCAACTGTTAATAAAATACTACCTTTTTCTTTCTGTATGTTCTCTAGATATCTTACTTATTTTCAGTAGACAACATTTTCCAAATAGATAATGCTGCAAGAAAAGTATGACCTGGAAAATACAACTTATCTGTGCCTTGATCAATGAACTGGTAAAGCCAATTAATCTCTACAAGTAGTTTTAATTCAACAGGAATACCATTAAGGCAGAAGTACACATTAACATGAATCCCAAATAGAACTCTGTCCATCAATGCACTTATAGTGAACTTTTCTTTCTCCCTCCCACTGGTCCAAACCCAGTCCATCTTACGATACACAAATTGTATTATAATCTCATAGTGTTTTGCCAGTTTTTGATTAAAAAATAAAATAATAAAAAAATAAATTAATTTAAAAAATTATATATATATATATTTATATATATTTATATATATAAATTTATATATATATATATATAAAAAAAAAAAAAAACTCTTTTGTATTTAGCAAAGATAAAGCCTAGGCCAGACACTGAAGAGTCACTTATTCCACCTTCTTTGCCTTCTAAGACAAAAAGATATCAGTCTATTCTTGATATATCATCTGATTTTACCAACATTTCCTTTCTTAATCTCAGCAGTGGAGATGCTTTGATGTTCCTCTCTACCTACCCCACTCTAAAAATCAGTTTCTGTCAATTGCCAAAGGACATGAATGAATTGAAATGACCATTGTCCTCTTTATCTAAAGCACAAGGAAGCATATTGCATTCTTGCTTCAGTCTTCTGGTCCATATCTGTTTTAAAATCTTTTCTGCACAGAACAATACTGCTGAGGTGTTTTGAAATAATGCAAGACTGTCCAATGTGTCTTTATGAAAGGGTCTTAATTTTTTTTCTTTAATCTTCTGCCCCACACCTGGTGGAATCTTATCAGCACCAAGCAGAACAGCTGTCACTATTGTACATAAAAATACATCTAAACACAAAAGTACATCTAAATAAATACAGTAAGTACATCTAAACCAAAAACGTTTGACATTGCTGATGTTTAAGGCACCGATCCTTGTATCTTGCTGCTTATCTACATATAATAGCTACTCCTTCAGTTTCATTTTTTCCTTCCTAAAATACAGAACTTTACACAATGCAGTCTAATAGTTTCGAAATGAAAAAAAAAAAAGTTTTAATAATGTCCTTCAAAGATATCCAGCAACTTGGTCTCCTCCAAAATATTACACATAATAGACACTACACATCCAAGTCATTACTGAAGCTACTGTGTAAATAAAAGGCCCAACACAGACTTGGTCTGAAACATCCTCGTGGAAATCAACACTGAACTACTAGCAGTAGTTTTAAACCAGTTTTGAACACATTCTGGTTATTAGATTCATAGCAAAAATACCTTTTCAAATAAAGAAATCTTGATGTTTGTTAAATACGAATTACACTACAGGAATATAAGATAGTTTTGCTTACAGATAGTTTAATTACCTACTCCAGAAGCCTTCCTCAGCATTAATTTGTTTCCTTGTGCTGTTCTTTGCTGGCATTAAGCTCTTTAAGATTTCTAGCATGTCCTAGTGTTGGCTCCTAAAAGGTAACTGTTCCAAACTGAAGCTCACTTGCAGGGTGAGATCTCCTTGAGTGGTTTTAATTAGTTGGCAGAAGTCAATGCCTTAAAATCACAGGGAATTTATTGTTTTCATTGATCTTGGTGAAGTATAAGCATAAAATGCAACACACAAAAGTAAAAAAAAAAAATAATAATAATAATAATCACAAAGTATTTATGAGTTATGAAGCAAAACAACCACCATTATTACTTTTTGTTTTTGGCAACAATAGGCTTTAATTCTTTAAATGAGCATGGCAATTTGATACAGATATGTTCAGCCAAGTATTACAATACCAAGTAGTTTTGTAGTCTCTCATTCAACTTGATTATAAGGAAGCTATAAGAAAAATTACCACAGCCCTTTTCACTTAAAAAAGAAAAAGTATTTAATTGGCTGAGTTGATGCAAAGACAAGTGCCACTAATGGACTCTTCCATTTCATGTACAATATTTGACAAGGAAATTATTTTAGACACGTTCAGGCCTAACTTAAAAACATTAACAATGAAAGTGCACAGATACTCTGGTCATCATTAAGCATTACACATGGATGTTGCAGTATTGAAGCTCCCTCTCCCTGTTAAAGGCACATTTCTTTAGATCGTTTTAAAATTCAACTTTTGTGGTTCCCCAGTAAATGAAAATGTAGCAGCACACAGTAAAATAATGATTTGACTGTGCTTGTGCTTTAATAACACAGATGTATTGGGAGATGCCCCATACAACGTGTTGTGAAGCTACTGAGGAACAGGACATAATTTGAAAATCAATGATTAACGAGTGAGATATAACAATGAATAATTAATATCAGCCATTAATTATGAGACTGTCCTGTTCTGAAGGTATTATTGCTGCTAGAGGCAAGATGAAGAGTTTAAAAAAAAAAAAAAAAGCAAACAAAAAATGTTCATCACTGGTGCAGGTAAGAGTTGAAACTGCAAGTTATATCCAAACAATATCTCATATATTAACCAGTGTTTGGATCATCTCCCAAAATTTGTAAACAAACTAATAAAATGAATATAACTGAAAAATGAAAACAAAAACAACAGTAAAATGAAATTTCTATAAGGACTTAAGTTATGAAAATGACAAACCTGGAATCTAAAAATCCAATTAACTCAATCAACTCTGTAAGTACATCAAATTAACATTAGCAATATTAAATACTCATTCAAATCAAACAAGGCTTACAAGGGATTGCTGCTGGTTTACTGTTCAGACCCATCGTTTGTACTCAAGTCCTGTGACTCTCCATGGTTTAAGACAAAGAAGTCTTCTTTTTTCAAGCCGTATCTTTCAAGAGCTTCGTTCAGTTTAACTGGAGGATCCAAGTAATACTAGAAAAATAACAATACAAGGAAAAAACATCACTACCAAATTTAGTGGGCAAGAAAATAAAAGGGAGTATCATCACTCTAAAAGACTGCTTTACATATTAACTATAACCTGAAAAGGAAAGGGAATACATTTGTCAAATTGAACTGAAATGATTTGCTCTGTTTTTAGTTTTTAAAGAATTAGAATACTGATTTACACTCATCCAGTATCTAGTAAAGCATAACTTATCACCCAAAATTCAGTCCTTTCCAATGTAAATAGATCTCTTAGAAGCAGAAACAGTCATTAGTCATTCCTAACACAAAGAAGGAAATGCTAATAGGCAGTAGATGGCGCTTTCTCACATTAGTAAAACAAAGTTGTCAGTTTTAATGTTTACAAAATAGTGCCATTTCAATATAGTAAATATAACGTTCAGCATTTGTTACGTTTTTAAAAAGGCATCTTAAGGGAGAATAATCCATTTTTGTGTGTTTCGAAGTAACCGATCTGCTTTGTTAAGTACTAATGACAGAGCATTGAAAGTATCTCGGATAGAAAATGTTATGAGTCAAGTAAACCTGGTCAACAGAAGCAGAAGAAAGTTACAAGAAGTAATAGTGCAACTGTTGCAAAGAAAGGTGAAAAACAGCTACCAGACAAGGTGCCTCCAAGTACATGCAGACTTCCTGCCTTTCACTTCATTTTTAGTCACTGTTACAATATTCATATAAGTAATTACTACAAGTGATACAAGAGCAAGGGCAGAAATCTGCAATAATTCCGGATAACCAAGTTTTCCCACGTTTTGCCAGTAAAAGAAGCTGATACTTAATCATGAATCACAAATAGCCTTCAATGCATTTACTAGACTGACAAGGTGCATAAAAACTATCCTGAACTAAGGGCACTCAATTCTTATGGCTTCCAAGAGATGTTTGCAAAGAAAAAAGTAAACTTGGCAATGAATGTCCCTGTCTGCCCTATTCCTCAGCTGTCAGACATCAGGTTTATTATTCACTCTACAGGATATATTCTAGCTATTTAAATGCCTATAAAACACTATTTCTTCAGAAGATATTTGATGTTTTTTTTTTTTTTCCTGTCCGAATATGCTATAATGACAGCTAGTGCATTATCATATCTACTTTATTTTCAATATGAAATGTTCAGAACCAAAGACTCATAGGTTTCTCAACTGCATTGGTTTTTCTTCACAGATTTCAGATGAAAGGACACAGAGGATCTGTCATAAGAATCAATCTGTGACTCGAAGGTTCGAACTTCAGAGAAGTTACTGAAATGCCAGATTACAGACTAACTTTCTTGTCTGCTTCAATTTTTCTCTGCCCCATGTTTTCCATTGCAGTGTTGATTGTTTTTTTTTGTTTTGTTTTGTTTTTAACTTTACGCTAAATAAAAAGTAGGCAAATAAATTAATTAGGGTGCTCAATTGGAGAACTCTACTACCCAATATATTTACTTTCTCTAAACCAGAAGGAATATAGTTGTAACAATTTCTGTGTATCTAAAACCTTCAACAACAAAGAAGGGACTTCAAAGATGCTGCATAGCATAAGATTCCCAGTATGCTTCTCTGTCTGACAGGAACCATTAAAAAATAATGCTAATAGATCTCCAGGTGTTTTAATATCTATACTTTAAAATTAATCTCAACTATTTTACACATTAGTTATGAAAAACTACATATCGTTTTGATGCACAGTACATATAGTAACAATTTTTCACTCATATTACATTTTAATTATACATTTATAGATACATGGGTTAAATTGCATGAAGGAAATAACATTAATGATTGTGTAGTTAGGAAATCTGAGCTCATATGTAGTGCTTAAATTTACCTCATTTGCTAAAGCAAAGGTTCCCCAATGAATTGCTACAGACTTCTTCGCTTGAACATCAATATGGATTCTTACTGCTTCTTCAGGATCCACATGTTGATGTTTCATAAACCACCTACCAAAACACAACGTAATTTTTTTGTGTCACCAGACTTCTTCTTTACCTTCATGGAGTAAGTTGCAAGGAATCTAAAAATATACATTTGCCCAATCAAGAAGTTAGACTACATATGTCTTAAGAATATGC